CGATTGAAGGTATTCAGTGGTGACACGCTAGAAACACGTGCTTTCTTATTCGTGACCTTTACTAGTTTTTTAAACTAGTGTTTTGGGATTTTTGAGTCGGTAAAGGATCGCGAGAAGGCGGAACTGTTTCTGAAAGATCACATGACTTACTGACACCTTCGTGATTGCAATTTCGCTCTCAATTGAATCGTGTTTGCGAGCGCTTTCCGATCGTTCCGTGCGTGGTTTTAGATCTCCGTGACAGCGACTCATTTTACCCCTGCCAGTTAAACAGTGTGCGAGAGCTGCGGCACTTGGAGCAAATATACTATTTTTTCCAAACCATTGCTCACGTTGGTCAAAAGTCACCGAGTTACCGCCCATACTCTGGAATGCCACACCCGTCACGTAAGCCAAGTGGCTTACTTGTTTGTCAAGTGCCGAGCTACAAGTGCTGAGGCTTGTGAATTAAGTTCAGCGAGGGACCAAGGCAAGGGCAAATGGCGGGGGACAATTTTATGTAGAAGCTCTGCATGGAGGAGGGCAGAAAACTAGCTCTCACGTGAATAGCTGAGGGTACATTTTCAGGACAATTGGCGAGAGCATAAATTAAAAAATGAAAGGGAAAAGAGCGCTGTTAAGCTTGATGGGGGCAGGTTGGTGGTTTTTATAGGTCACTGCCGGTGCCTGGTATGCAGACCTGCCAGTCCCTGTTAAGCCATGCAACAGCATGAGCTTCGTTTACACTTGACAAGAACCTACAGGTTTTACCAAGGTGAGTCGTGTAATGTAACGAAAACTAGTAAAATGAACCAGCGGAAGTGCTAAATGCTCTCCCCCTCCGCCGAATAGCGCCGTCAAAAGTAATAGTTAGTTATATATAGTAATAGTCATAGTTAGTTAGTAATAGTAAGTTAGGCAACTTTTCAAGCAAAACTTGTTCTTGCTGGGGACATGTCCTCGTGGAGACGTGTTTAAATAGCTGAACCGTCTCCTAAATTCCGAGCCCATAGGCACTCCTTTCTGCTCACTTCGGCTTCATGGAGCACGGAATGGTACTAAGCAGGACTTGTACAGGCCTACTTGTGAAGACCTGTGAGATCCTGTAATTGAAGTAACCTACTCGAAAAACTTCGCGGCTTGATGGGACTCTACAGGTCTGACCAAGATGTATTCAATTAATTGAAATGAACTAGCAAAAGGATTTAGCGAAAGCGCGATCTGCCCCTCCTAAGACGAGCAGCACCTCTTTCCGTTGCTTGTCCCTTTTTCTATAAAAGTTATGGTAGCCAGACACTTTGAGCATATTTCGAGTGCATAAAAAAGGATTGGAAATAAGATATGGAACAGAAAAGAAATATCCATCAATCTATGGGCAGTGAAAGGGGATATGGAAGATCTAGCCCAGATTAAATTTTATACGAATTTTTCGTTTCAGATGACTATCACCGACATGGACATCGAGTACAATCCCGCATGTGATGCTGATGTATTGATTGTTGGAGAAGGTATGCAACTATGGAGTCTCAAG